TCTTTTTCATTTTTTCGTTTCCAAATACTAATAGTAATGGCAAAAAAACTTAGAACAAGCCATTCCACGATATCCAATCAATTGTGGTGTCTTCGCCCCCAAGCTACGGACTGAAACAAGAAAGCCATTTCTGCAAGTATTACTATGATTTGCCATTGGGCTTGGAGCTTTTATCCTTCTCTCTCGCCTGTCGGAATTTCCTTTTTGGGAGAGAAAAAGCATTTATTTATCGTTCCTGTGAGAGGACCAAAACGCCAGAATCATTTCACGAGTTTCCATTCTCGTTCGTTCTGATCGAAATGTGCGAGACTTGTTCAAGAATTTGTGCGTCGACTGTCCACAACTGAAGCTCACGTGTATATTCAGTATTTAATTGTCGTCTCGATACTCACATGGCTTCTCTTGTTCATTCTTTACGTGTATATTCAAATACTTACGTGTATTATTGAAGGTCACTGGGAGTGATACATCTATGTTTTGATGGGACATTCATTTACGAGATCCATGAAAATTTGAGAATTTCAATAAGCATTATGAGATCCATGGAAATTTTTATATTTTAGGTTAAAGAAATTGTGAAAAATAACTTTTCCCCTAAACTTAATTAAAAAATATTATTTTTTATAATTTTAATTATTTTTAGTTAATTTTTAATATGCTTTGATAATAATATTTTTTAAATAATATCAAATAAATTAAAATTGTTTCAATTTTCTTTATCTAGCCATCCAAATAAAAATTTTAAAATTAAATCTCGATTTTTTTCTCTGATCAAATACTGTCATCTCGCTATCTAAAGAATAAAAATGGCATCAAACTTTTTCTTATTTTGTTTTATTTTTTTGGATAATGGATTTAAGGTTCTTAAGAGTGATGAATAGCGATTTTGCTCTTCTATAGTGATTGGTTTATGATGAATGTCGTAATTTGATGCTTTCTGGCGATGACTTATCTCGAAGCATGTGCTGCAATGGAGATGCTTGTGTTGATGAGTTGGATCGAATTGGTTAAAATAATGGGCTCAAAGAGAAGGAACAATTAAAACATGTTTAATGGGTTTTATGGTGATTCACGATTTTATTATATCTGGGATTGGAATGATTGTTAAGCATGCTTGCTGAGGATTTTGATTCTTTTTTATGATATTTTGAGTAGCAATTGTCTAGAGAATATTTTGTAATGAGAGTATATTTTGTTTTTGTATAAGGAGAGTGAGCAAGACCCTTCCGATAAAGATATATTTTGTCTTACTTTAAAGGGTTATGGAGTTTTGTAACTTATCTTTTATGAAATGTACAATTCATGGCTTAGCAAAAAAAAAAAATATGTTTTAGGTACTTGAGTTTATTGATTTATTCATAAAATCTCAAAATTGAAGAGTTTAAATTGATTATATTAGTTTTTAAAAACTAAAAACTAATATTTAAAAACTAGTCACATAATATCCAAAGTTAGTTATGTAATGCTTAAATACTAATTACACAATATCCAAAAACTAATTACGCAATGCATAAAAACGACAAAACTACTGAATTTCATTTAATAAGATCAATAACTTCAAACGATGCACTATATTCTATTTAACAATATAATTAACGAATATGCTTACTTGACAAAGAATGCTTAAAATGTTCAAAGGTTTTTTTTTTCATATATCAAAAATCATTCGAAAATGCTTTAAAATGCTCAACACGCTTAAAGGTTTTCTTCGTGTATCAAAAACTATTCTAAAATACTCAAAATGCTTAAATCTTTTTTTTCTTTGGTAAGGAATACTCTAGAGATAAATGGTCTAGCGAGAAAAATTTTTTAAAAAATGAGTCAGTTTAAGATGCAGACCTAAACATACTTGATCTGTTAATAAGTTTTAAGTTGAGAAGCGAAACCAAACAAATGAGTCGATTTCATTAAGGGTAATTTTATTCAAATTTTAACTTCTTTGGCTAAAAACAGTTAAAATTATAAAAATGTCTATTGTCATAAATATTTTACGCATGGGGCCTATTTAAAAAAAAAACTCTTTTAGATTTTACTTTCATCATGTGTTAATAGTGTGGTTCAATTTTATATTAAATTTTATCTAATTATATGCTATTTTGTCAATTTATTTATTTATTTAAATAATTTCATATATGCTTTTCATTTTTTTTATCTATGTAAATCATAGATGTTGAGCATTGTTTGGTTATAATTGTATTTTTTTTTTTTGTACATGTAACATTATTAAAACAAAATAACATTTGCTCAATTAGTTACATAGATAGAGAATTATATAAATGAAAATTTAATCATATATTATGATACACCATTAATTAATTATTGAAACATTATGTTGTTTCATTCCTAATTTCTCAGCTACTTATTAGGCCCAATTAAATTTGAAGCACCTCCTTGAAAAGATATGCAGTAATTCAGAAAAAATATGAAATTGATTTGCACTTAAAATTGTTTTGAAAGAAACTTAGTATTAAATATTCAATCGTAATTACTTTTAAATGGTATAAGGAATATTTGTGGCATAATACTTGAAAAATCTCATGAAGTTTTTAAGAAAGTTTCAATAAATTTATTTTTTTATTGCGTTCAATGAAAATTTTTTTTAGGTAAAATAGATCAATACGATTAGTGGTTGACGTATCATTAATCAAAATATCATTTATCATTTTATTTCCATGTTATATTAATATGATATTGACTTAAAAAATTGAAAGATGTCAAATAATTATATCATCATATCATATCAACATATTACATTATTATTATTATTATTATTATTATTATTATTATTATTATAACATGTCAGTATGTTATGTTAGCGTCATGTGATATAAAATAACAGACGGTATTATAACTAAAAATAATTAATCAATCATTGGTTATAAAAGTTTATTTGGTTAAAAATAGAAATTTAAGAACTTTATTTAAAATAATAAAAAAATAAAAATATATTTAAATTTAATTATATAGTTCAATAATATTTTTAAATTTTATGTCAATATTATTTTACTATGATAATCACTTAAAAAAATTATTAATGTAATTTATATCGTTTTATCCTTTCTCTTTTAATTGAAGATTTCAAAGTATCTTAACTACTGCCTCCAAAATAAAAGCCCACTGAGCATTTATATTGGTATTTGATTAATAAAACAATAGTCAATATTTCAGTCAAGTAATGAAAGATTAATTTAAGACAAAAATAGAAATTGATCATCATACCAAGTATTGGTGTTATGTTTTATATTTACACTACAAAAATTTAATTATTGAGTTGATTTGTTTAATTGAGAAAAAAACAAAGTTGATTTGTTTCTTTAATTACCATCATGCCTTTAGAAGGTGCTAATATTCAAAGGCATCTAACAGTTGAACCATCCATTTGAGAAAAGCAAAGGAGAAGAATGAAGAAAAATAGACTTGGACATAATTTTCAAATTAGTTTGAAAATTATTTAAAAATTTTAAATCAGTATTTATTTTTATTATTTTTAATTAAATCTTTGTATTTTTGTTTTGATAACATAAATCTTTATAATTAATAATGAACTAATTCTTATTAGTAAAAATGTTACTTATCATTTTATATTCACATAGCGTTGAAGTGAAAAATGAAAAATATTAAATAGTTATATTATCATGTTAAATAAACATGTGATATCGTCATTAATTATAATATGTTACGCCAGCGTCATGCAACTTATAATTACAAATGATTTTTTAATCGAGTTAATCATTAATCATACAATCTATTTGACTCAAAAAAAAAATTTATTTGACTTAAAATAAAAGTATAATGATTTGATTTAACAAAATAAAAGTATAAACAATTATTTGAATTTTTCTAAATGAGTTAGAGACTTTTTTTAAATATTATATCATAAAATTTTTTATATAATAGGAACAGGGTTAGTAATTTCAGTAAATACGCAGAGATAATTGGTGTCCACAATTATTCGGATATATTCCTTGAAGCTCAAAATAGCTAATACCATGGGAACAATATTAGCTATTTCGACCTCTTCCTAAATATCTATTTCTTGTTTCTTTTTTGAAACTAAAGAATTAGAGCTCACATTAGAAGAAGACATTCTCCCAACAAATATATGCCAATATGGAATTCATGTTAAAATTAAGTCATGTTGCTGTTCTAATCTTGTTCTCATTTTATAAAACAATTTTTTTTTAAAAAAAATTAATACGTTAACTAAAATCAGGTATTTAAAGTTGTTTAATTCATGTTTTATTTATTTTAATTTTTTTTTTCAAGTTGCATAAAGGTTTGTTCGTTTGGATTTTGTTTTGTGTTGGATAGCTTCATTTTTCTGTTTCTAATTACCATTGATGTACTCCAAAATTTGCTTTAAATTTCCTTTGAATTTAAATCGGTTTAAGTTTTTTTTTTTTTTGAGTTCTCTTTTCTTGCTTCCATTTTCGTTTGAGTTTGAGTGTATTTTCAATTCCAGTTCGTCTCCCTTCTGTATTTGAATTTGCGTGTTATCAAGATTTTGACTTTCTTTCTTCGTCCGTTTTGAAATGTTTATACTTTTGAAGGTGCTGGACAGAAGGCTTGAACCAAACCCAGCCCAACTTAAAGTGGAGTAATAGTTTTCACTTTACGAAACGTACTCACTTGGGCCTCTGGAAACCTAAAATTACGGCCCAAATGTTTTTCCTTTCAGATGGAGATCGTAGCTTGGAAAGAACTAAGAAATGTACGGTGGATGATGAAGCCAACTCATGAATCTGAGTGAAACACTCATTCGAAACCTCGAATGTTTAAAAGTGACAAAACAAAACAGGAGAAACGCGGTTTTTTAAAGTGGCGCCAAAACCTCCAAAACTAAATTTCCATTTCCCTCTGCATCCTCTCTTCAATTAATCGTTTCCCTCTCTCCCAAATCCCCTTTAACACAATCCCCATATATTGTCGAACCCTTTTCCTCTCAATTCTGAAAGAAACTGCTCTCTCATTATCTTCCAGTGGAGTAAAGAAACAAGAAAATGGCAGGAGGATCCAAGTCAAATCCACCGAAGCCAAGGAAGAGAGTGGACGCTGCTTCAACCGCTGCCCCTGCCTCCTCTCTCGTCCGCGCCAAAGATGGCAGTGCTTTTGCCAAATGGTAATCTCATTCTCTCTCAATTTAAACTTTCATGCTGATTTCCTTTCTGGGTATTTTCATTTATTTTCACATCTTTTAGATTTACTATAAGTTGAAGCATTTTGGTCCATTTAGTTAAGGGGCTCTTTTCTTTGTTTTAAATCTGTGAAATTGCAGTGAAGAGTGTAACAAAACTGTACCAGTGGCTCTTATTAGTATGCATAGCTGTAGCCTTGATGCCAAGATCAAAATGAATTTGGGTTAGTCTCCAATTTTTCTTAATTCAATACTACAAGTTAGATTGGATCATGAATAATGATGGCGGGTTTATTCTCAATTTGCTTTACTTTCTTATTTTCTTAATTTAGAGGCTCAAGTCATTGAGAAGCCTGCTGAAGTTAAGAAGAAACCTGCAGAAAGGTAATTTTCACTTTCACTAACTTTCCTCCTTTTGCTTTGTTTTGTAGTTTCATCTTCACTTTTAAGTTTTTTTGCTCAATCTTGACTTCTAATTCATTTACGTCTCTGATAATTATACAGGAAGAAGCCAGCATCAACAGAATCAAATCCAAAAAAACCGAAGAAGTTGAAGAAGGGCAAGGATCCCAATGCCCCCAAACGTCCTCCTACTGCCTTCTTCTTGTTCATGTAACTCCTTTCTCTTTTTTTCGTTAAATTTCATGAATAAATACTCTTCAATTAATTGATAACTCTTGCTGTTTTCCAGGGATGACTTCAGAAAATCTTATAAGGAAGCTAATCCAGATGCAAAGGGCGTTACAGGGGTATATATTTCTGACTATAGTGATTAAGGGTTTTTTTCCTTTTTTATAATGGAATATGGTTTGTGTTGTTAAAATTTGATTGATGAAATCTAGGTTGCAAAGGAAGGTGGTGACAAATGGAAGTCCATGTCAGAAGAAGTGAGTTCTAGATATATAATTATTTTGATTTGAACCTCTTAGTCATTAGAATTAGTTAGTTAATGAATTTTTATTATGGGTTTTGACCTCAACCTTGATTTAAATCAGGAAAAGAAGCCTTATATTGATAAAGCTGCTGAGCTTAAAGCGGAGTATGAGAAGGCATTGGAGGAGGTTAACGATGCTGACAATGAAAATGAGGATGTAAGGCTTCACTCGCCATGTTTTTGAAAGTTAACATTTGGTTTAGCTACTGGTCCCTTGGTCTTCCCTTTATCTTATGCTGAATATGTTTTAACTTGTTTGTGATTGTTTAGGGGGAAGGAGGTCCAGAGAAGGACACGGCTGCTGCTGAAAAGGAAGCAGAAGAAGTATTAGATGATTATTAATTGGTGGCATAATTTATTCCCAAAAATTTCTTGTTCATATTTTGGTGGGGGTGTTGTAAATTTTTGAATCTTCTTTTTGAGGCGATGAATTCTAGTAGGTGTCTGCATGCGTTGGGAATCATCATGCTTCCTATCTTTTCTAATCATGTTGTATTGTCTTGTTCCACATGTGAAGGCTGAGGCAGGTTCTTTAAAGTAAAGTTCATGACTTAGCAGTAGTAATGATAACAAAAATTGATCTTTAGAGGTGGTCCTTAAATTTTCTTGTGCCTACATTTCTGAAGACAAGTTTTTTCTGAGTACTGAATTTGTCTCCATGTAATGGTTATGCAAGCTGGTAGTAAAGAAAAAAGAGAACTTTGCTTTGGAGTAAAAGGTAAAATGTGCATCAATGCTCTATATTGAAAAACAATGTTTTTACCATAGTGGTAGTTATTAATGAAATTGAGCTAGAGACTACTAATGAAAAAGTAAGGAAAAAAAATGGACTACCGTTGTAAAACATAACCTATCTCTTTCTCGCATGTGAGAATGCTCATTAGGCCATGAGCGTGTATACTTGGGGCAAATTTGAGTCAGCATTTCACTGGCCCATCCCTCATTTCTTTCCCCTGCAGGGCGGCATAGGTTTGCCACATAGGCAGAGATTATGAGCATAAGCAGAGGCAGGGAAGATATTGTAAGGTCGCCCTTGTGGGATCTCTCCACATAGTCTGTTTGCCCTGAAGCTTGCGTGTCTCATTCCATGAATACCCAACAAGCTAGTTGGGATTTTTCCAGTGAGCCTGTTGATGGAAAGGTCAAGCCATTCAAGTTTCACCAGTTGTCCTAAACTTGTGGGAATGGTGCCAGCTATCTGGTTCCTCGAAATATCCAGCCTTTCAAGTTCAATGAGATTTGAGATTGAACTGGGGACTTGGCCTGCAATCTTGTTGCTTCCTATATTCAGCACCTTCAAACTCAAGCCTTCAGTGAATTCTGGCATCGTGCCAGAGATGAGATTATTTGAGACATCTATAACCTCCAAAAAGCTGCTTGTTCTATTATTTAAAATGCTTGAGAGAGACCCGAATACCTGATTTGAATGGAGATCGATAGAGGAAATACCATCTGGCACAACGAGTTCCGAAAGATCAAACTTCAGTTGGTTGTTTGAAAGCTTCAGCTTCTGTAGACTTGTCATATTTGTGAAGAAAGTGGAAATGCTCCCTGTCAGGAAGTTATTGGATAGGTCTATTGAGCTCATTGAATCTGGTCTCGTAAACTTTGGGAGGGTTCCTTTCAGTTTACAGCCAGCTAGATTTACATCTGAAAGCTGTCTGTGCATGATCCAGTCAGGAACTGTCCCCAAACTGAGGTTGTTGAAGGACAGGTCTATTGACAGAAGTGAAGGAATGCCCCTGCTAGAAATAACTGGTAAAGGATCTGAGAACCCATTTCTGGATAAGTTAAGGGACCAAAGGTTCTGTAATCTTGAAATAGATGCTGGAATATGACCTATAAACTTGTTGCTACTCAGTGAAAGACTAGTTAGAGATTTAAGGTTTCCAATCTGGTCTGGGATTATTCCTGTGAGCTGGTTGTGGCTCAGTGACAAGTCTGACAGAGTGACCAAGCTGAACATGGAAATGGGTAGGTGCCCTGATAAGTGGTTATTGGAGAGGTCAATATAGGTGATGTTTCGAAACTGTCCTACAAATTCAGGTATAAAACCAGACAATAAGTTGAAGCTGAGATCAAAAGACTGCAAACGAAGAAGACTTTGGAAACTAGAAGGGATTGGACCTGTCAATGAATTTCTTCCAAAATTTATCAGGACAAGGTTTCTCAAATTCCCTAGGCTTGGGGGAACTGGCCCCATGAAACGGTTACCAGCCAATGAGAGCGTTTGGAGCAAGGATAAACGACCAAAACCTGAAGGAATGTTCCCTTCAAGGGAATTGTCTTCCAGGACCAACTGCGTGAGACGGGTTAGATTGGAAAAGTTCTCAGGGATTGGACCTGTAATAAGCTTCATCCCACTTATCACCAACACCTCCAAGAATTGCAAGCTGCCCAGAGAAGGTGACAAAGTACCCTTCATGTAGAGGCTACTGTCCCTTTCTGGCCTTTGCAGCGCCAGTGTGGTGACCCTTCCCGTTGGATTACACTGAACACCCTCCCAATCTCCTCCACAGCAGTCTCTTCCTATCCATGAAGAGAGACTATCTGTAGTGTCCTTCAAGATTTTGGCTTTGAAACCAAGAAGAGCAGCTTTATCCGCCTCTGAGCAAACTGCCGGTGCTTGTGAGGTTGTTTGAGCTAGTGACAGTGGAAACACTTGTAGAATGGAACATATAAGCAGAACCTTTAAAACCCATCTGAGAATCTGCATTTTGGAAGGTGGGTCTTGATCAGATCAGAGAGATTACCCAAAAATATATAGAATTTTCCAGTGATGTTGGATCTGACAAGAAGAACTTTGAATTGGGAAAAATTATATTCTATCATCAAAAAAGCAAAACTAAAGTTTGCAAAGCAGGCATGGGTCTATTCTATTCCTTCACGTAGACAGGAAGGTATAATGATGAAAAAGAAGGCAGAAAAAGATTCAAAGTGTGAAATGTGAGTTATAACTTGGCTGGAGATCTGCTAGACCCTGAACAATGCCACCTCTTATTTATACTACTAACAGAAAAATGAAATCCCTTATTTTGAAAGATAAAAAATAGAAAAAAAAAAAAACCATCCTGTATCTGTTTAAAGACATTCACATGGAGAATTCTGACCGTTCGATGGATCACGAGGATCCTAATTCTATTTGAACGTTGGAGCGCAGCTGGTTCAAATTCTTCACCTTTTTGGAAAACCGATTACCCTGATTTCTGGCTGAAGTCCACAGCTTCACGCTGTACCATCATTTTCATTTTTTGGGTTTTGTCTCTGTGGAGAGTTCTGATTCCATTTTCTTCATGTTTTGACACCATTAATCCTCGTGATAAGGCTCAGCTCTTACCCTTCATGTGGGCTCATAATTTACCAGAAATTCAAAGTGATCACAAGTGTCAAAAAACCCCCATAATCTTATTATTTTCTCAGCCCTTAAACCATAAATAGATCAACTGTTATCATGCATTGCTCATTCAACAAATTACCAATCAATTGTAACCGTTATATATGCTTTTAAATTGAATCTCAAAAGTTGACAAATGTACTTATTAAAAATATGGATGGATATGATGACAAACTTGTAAAAAACAATGGCTTAGACTTGATCCACAGTACTTGGAACAAACCATGTAGGAGCCACTACCCTATAACTACCCCTGAAAGATAAGAAGATTTGCTTTGATTATTGATCCTTTTCCTAATAGGGGAAACTCTCGTTTGCTTCCTCTACTAGTTAATCAAGGCGGTTTTCAACTTTTCAACTCCAACAGGAGACTTGTCTTGCAGCCTTGTGGGGTGTGTAGCCTACTGATTTTGCTGCTTCCAGGTTGTTTTCCTACTACTGCTTTTCGTTTTCTCCTTCTTTCGGTACAGAAAAAACACAGAAAAGCAAAGCCAAGCTTGGGAACTTAATACTGTAATTAGGATGCCAGCTGTACACTTGTTTAATAGTAATAATAATCTTAAATTTGCACTTTTTGGAGACAAAATCTTTCCGGCAAACATACATCCTAGTCAGAAATGTTGAATTTCTTGGAGAAGTTTGTCAACCAATCATTCTTGAATTTTGACACTTGTAGTTCTTGGAGTCACATCTTCAGTCTTCACTCACCACCCCTTTCCCCATTCTTTTCCACATTAATTCCCTCTATTTAAACCGTATAACCCCCCCAATGTGGGAGTAATAGGAGGTTTAATTACATCTATGTGAACTACATTTCTTCCCCCTTTTAATCATTTCTCTTTCGTCAGTGGTGATATTAGATTTACAAACAAGTCAATATGGTAATAATGCAAGCCAATAGAAGCTTTGTTTTCGGAATTCAGAATTCCCAAAGTTGTATCTCTGCAAACCCTTTTTTTGCTGTCAAATTATGGCCTACAGATTTATTTTTCTTTCGTACGTTAAAAGCTACGACCCTTTTTATAAGGCAACCACTGCCATCTTTTTGCTTGTTGCCTTAGCTACATGCCGAAGCAATTTATTACAATTGGAAGGTAGCACTATACTTTCTATATAAATATATGTATATATTCAGTATACCATATTTATATTTGTCTTTTTACTACTGGACTCGTCCAATGTCTTTTATTCTCTAATGCCAAAAGTTGAGACTTGAGGGCGAGTCCAGTCCCTTTAACAATATTTGATTTTTATTTATATTGAATTAAGTTTTTATATTTTTTATTTTGATTCAAATAAGTTTTTATGATTAATGATTAATTAATTATTATTAATCAAAATATTATTTACCATTTCATGCCATATGATGTTGATATGGTATATAGACATGTTATAATGAATAATAACGTATTATACAGAAATGACATTATTATATGACCAATATGGATAATTAATTAACATTTAATTATAAAAATTTATTTAGTCCAAAATCAAAATACATGAATTTGATTGAAAGTAATAAAAATATTATTTAAAATTTCTTAAATAGTTAAAAAAATTTCAAATATTATATCAACGTTAACTAAACAAAATTTTAATTAATCTTCTCAATTTCATTATTACACTTGTTTGTTACAGACCACAAGAATAACTTTTTCACTAGTTCAAAACTTTCATTTTTTGGAGTACAAAATGATGCCTAAACTTGACCTCTAGACCTTAATGGTACTTTCCATAAAGGCTAATGAATGTGGAATTACTCTTCCTTATTCCTTCTTTGGACAAGAGGTAATGGCATCAATTTTGACAATACCTTAACAAATATTACATGAAATTTCATGAAAATAGGGTCTAGTTTGGCCTCTTAAAGGGGCCTACTATATATATAATTGTCACCTAATGACAAGATTAAGATTACAGGACCAAACTCTAAAACCTTCCATTTAGGAGACAATTAACTGCTTGTGGTGGGCTGCTGGCAGAGGTCCCTCATTCGGCCGTTTAAGAAAAACAAGACCAAAATCTTAATGGAATGATTTTCGATGGCCTTGTCATTCAAAAGATTGTTTTTTTAAAAGAAATTAAATCAAATTCTCTACTCATTAATGGCGCGTGGAGACAGCCACACGGTTTCCGCAGATGTTGCTTTAAGCATAATCAATGGAAGAAAGCAACGCAGAGAAAATAAAACTTGAAAGGAAATCATCAAATTGACATCTTACTTTCTTTTCGTTTTCCTGTCATTGGAATGTTTTCAATAATTAAAATATATGTAAATTAGTTATTAATTGCATAAAAAATTTGTAATACATAAATGTAAATAACGCGTTGGACAAATTATTTTCAAATAATAAATATTATAAACATTCGTGTTGATGATATCCTATTTTCTTTTTTTTTCCCTTGATTGGAATGTTTTCAATAATTAAAAAATATATAAATTAGTTATTGATTGCAAGAAAATTTAAAATATATAAATGTAAATAATGCATCGAACATATTGTTTTTAGATATTTAATATTATAGATATTCATTTTGATTATTGTTATTATTTATTAGAGATGCGAGTTTTGTAATTTTTACGCTTAAATAAATATGTCAATTTGATTCTTTAAAGATTTGAAATGTTTGACTTAAAAACGGAAAATGACTAGATTATAACAAATCCAAAAAATGAATTATATTAATTATGTTAAAATGTAGATTTTAGTTAGCATATAGTTAAGTAAAGAAGTAAATTAGGATGGTGATAGCTTAGGTTATGGTATTACGTATCTCATATCATTAAGAAATAAAATAACTATTTAACTTATAAGTAAGAATTTTCTTTATTTGATAAATATATTTTTTGAGTTAAAAATGTGAATAAAAAAATAATCATTTAAACAAAAGCAAAACAAATAGTATCATCAAAGAAAAATAATTATTGCAAAACCATGATTTTGCTTTCGTATAATTAGTTTGATAAATGCAGTTTTAAAAATTTCTAGCCATAATCCAGTGGTTACAAATTATCAGCACACGGCTTTAAATGCAAACATCCAATTTCAACCATCAAAATTCCTTAGTGGAAAATGAACTGTACTTGTTTCTTTTGGTAAAAAAAATTAAAAAAAAAGAAGAAAGAAAGAACAATTGGACAGAGTATATGATGGGTCATTTTGTTTCCGTATAGTGTTTTTCAGTTTCACGATACCAAGTTGAATGAATTAGGTTTGCGTTGATTGCGCTGGAAAGAGCAACGACCCCACCTGGGTGTCGACAGTGTAGACTGGTGGCTCTCTGCTCTGCTGGGGGATTTGGATTTTGGAGTCGTTAAGTTGAAGTTTTGGGATATTGGTCCCAATCACATCAAAAAGCTTAGACGATTCTTGTTTTAAAATTGGGTGATTGAGGACCCTACGTTTCGTGGGGTCCACCCATGTTTTTGATAAACCAAAGGTCAATCATGATTCGTTTATATTGGAAACATCTTGGCCATGTCATGTGAAGTGTCTGTTTAAAGATTGTCTTTAACGGGAGGTTCAAGCTTGTTTTCTCTATGGAGAAAGGTATGGCATATCGGAGGCAGTAAATACAAAAGTTGGCAATTTTAATGGACTACACCTTCCCTCTTATATGCTTCTTGTGTTGTAATGAACCTTTGCCTTACTCTAAAAGCCTAATTGGATGAAAAGTTTGTCAAGGCACTCATGGTTTGATACATGTTACTCTGTCCCAAACCATATGCTGCATTCTCGTTAACAAGGTGGGGCTTGAGAGATTGTTGTCTCACTCCTGGGTCCTCTGCTTTGCTGACGCTTGCAAAACTTGATTGACCCTAATCATCGTAATTAGTGCTACTATTTGGTGGTTGGCACTTGGCACAATCAATTATTGGGGTGTTAATAGTACTTATGTCTTATCCAGCGATACGCTGAACCTATGGAGTAATCCAAATCTGTGGAGAGGAGCTCTTTCAATTTCTGACAGTAAAATACATTTGACTATTTTATTTGTCACAGCTCCAGTTATACTTTGCACTGCTTGACATCCTTTTGAGGAGCAGAAACTGAGGCCGCATGTACAAGGTCCAATTACTGTCCGCCCTTTTTCTGAATTTACCAAAGTGCGTCCAAATCAGTTGCCTAATCAATTCACAATTTGATTAAACTAAACCGTGTTGGACAGACCTAATCTAAAACATCCTTTCAACTGTACAAGCAATAAAGTCTCAATGTAAGATTTGTGGCAGACAAAAAAAGATATTAACAAAGTCATAAACAAGGGTGATTTTTTTCTTCTTAGCTTTTTTTAGTTAAATTTTGATTTATTTTTATTATTTTTAAATTAGAATTATGCTGTTAATGAACTACACCTGTACCCTAAACAACAATTTTAAATAGAATGCTGGTGGTTAGGTTAAGAAGAAGATAAAAGTGGACGTTGATAATATTGAAAATGTCTTATTAATGTCCACTCTTATCTTTTTATCACATCTCCTATAACAGAGGCTAACCATTAATTTGTTCATAGCCAAAATGCCATGAATTTGATATTATTGAGCACGATGGAGGTGCCCCATGCTTCTTATCTCAGCAAATATAATGAGTAATGCCCATGCTGAGGCTTGAGAAGTAGATATCTCGTCATCCATGTGGGTCACCATAACTGGTCACAATGATTGGTTGATCCATTGGACAATGTCGTACTCCATTTTTTCCTTTGTATGAGAAATTTTGTGGTAGCCCTGCAGATTGTTCGTGCCACGAACTTTAGTCACATGGAAAAGTAACCAGTCCACCAATGTACTGTCTAGATCCTAGTCCCTCTCTGTCTCTTTTATCAGGAAGGGAGGTAGGCAGCTGGCCCGGATAGAGCGCAGGACATGGGGAGCCTAGCTAGTCCCCCTGTGGCCGGGGGTGAACTGTTACAGCGTTAAGCCAAGTTGGCCGGTTCACCAACTACCTGGTCTGACTTTTTCTTTTATCTTTTAATTAAATGCATTTTAATTGAGATTTAAAAGAAGAGTCAAGAGTTGTGACAGACATGGACCGTGACGCTTAGCAGAAACAGAGGTAAGAACTTCTTAGGGTGATGGCCCCCAAAATAAATCACCTGGTTTCCTCATTTAAGAGCATGGTCCAATTAATGTGAAGCACTTTTAAGTGGGCTCTCCATGGGCTGACATGGACTGGTCTGTAGTTAGGCCGTTGAATTTTCCAAGTGAAGCTAGGGCCGTATCACTTGACTGGAGTGGGATGCCTGGGTTAGCTATCAGCAACCATGCATCTACGAATATTATAATTTCGTACTTGTATTGTAACAGGAAGACTGTGCGATATTCATGTTTTCTCCTTACATCTCAAACGTGAATCACACGGAAAAATCTTGGGTTTCTGCTACATTTTTGGTTTCCACGGCGACATATCAATTTTTCAGTGTAATTGATTTGTCACCAAGCCCGAGTACAAGGAGGACAACATCATGAATAAACCAGAAACTTAAAGAAAGCTTACATCACTTAATCCTTAGTTTTCACAAAGCTGTTTATTAACAGCAGCACTAGCAACACTACTAAGCCCAATCAATAGAAAACAGAAAACTCTCTCTTTCATGCTTCTCCAAAATTCCAAGATAGACTTGGCCTTATTTCCATGAGTTCTGCCATTCCTCTCAAGCCAGATAAGATTGGTATAGTCTTGCCTTTAAGCCTGAGCTTGTCCCAGATAAACTCGGAATTCCAATCAGCCACTGGTTTTTGAATACCTCAGGCTTGCAAATTAAACTCTCACAGCTGCCTCGACAAACTGCAAGTTAAGAACAAATGGTCACGAGTTTCAAATTCCCGATGACAAAGAGGACAGAACAATGCAGAAGAAATCCTCCAAAAAAACTGTCTCTGCTTAGCGGGGAGCTTGTCCAATATAGCCATGAGCCATCCAAGCTCTGAGTGACTGCCTAAGAGTATGAAAACTGAACCATATTAGTCTGTGCTAGTCAACCTTTTGTTGCTCACGCCTGATAGCAGCCCTAGTCAGGGCTGTGCTATCCTTAGCCGTTGAGCCCAACAAGACCAGTTTCCCCATGCTGCTGTCCGGTAAAAGTAAAGAACAGTGGTTCTAAGCAGTAATAAGTATCTCCAGTTACAACCATGGCCTCACATTATTTTAATTCTCTATGACTTTATTATTCTAATTCTAAAGGATTTAAAGTTGTTTGCAACTATGTTAACTAGGGAAGTTCAGGGAACGGTAAGGGCAATCACTAATTTCTGTAGCAAAGCGACATAAATTCTGCAATCAGTAGTCACGTCTCGCGCTGTCACGAGAACTTTATGACGGAGCTAACATATTGCTTTACAATAACATTGCACTTATTCGCTTAACTGGACACTGTCTTTTCTGACATTCTTGTCTCACCATCATGAGTACTGTGGCTCTGCCGAGAGTACTCGGTCGGTCTTGAAACATTGTCCATTTCCAAATTACAATCTGGTGCAGATATCATTCATGTTCTCTTACTAGCTACGTTCTTCAAGATTGATACTGTCTTCCTTTAAACATGTTTTACCATCTCTGAAATTTTTGCTTTAATCTGACTGATAAAAACTAGTAGACATTTCTCGTTCATAGGATGCTTGGCTGTGCACGTTGCAAATTTGATAAACTAATAAACAAGTAAAAGGCAGTTAGCATTTGAGAATCTGCAGTCTGAGACCTTCACAGGTAAAGATTTGTAACGGGTTCCACAACTTTGTTCATGTTAAAAGATTTTCACATGTAAACACATAGAAAATACTAGTTCCATTCCTAAAAAGAAAAGACGTTAATTAATTAATTACAGTCGTTCTCAGCTTACGGCAAATGATATCACTGGAGAAGGCATATGCGTAGAATTTCTATGTAGCACATCATAGGTATTTTTTCATTCTTAGCAAGAAAAGGGAATTAAAACGCAGGATGCTAGTACCAAAAAGAGCAACGAGAAATTGTTTATTTCATTTGTAAGATAATTTGACAGAATAAGCAGGGGAATAAATTACTAAAATAAAAATGATTTTGGTTTAACACTTAAACCCTATATGTAACTACATCATTTAGTTCCTCCAAAGCAAACAAGAAGAACACTTAGACATGCCTTTGAAACTTTCAATTGATGCAGTGCTCACTGCATTTTATTCATCTTTTTGACAGCCACAACTAGATCATGGCAGAATTTGCATAATCTTACTTAACAAGGCCTAGATTGAGGATCCCCCATGAAGTTTGTGGCCAAGACTTTTCTTTGGCCTTCATCAACAAAACTCTTGCCCAAGCAATCCATCCATCCCATGACATCCTCTTGTCCCACGGACTGCTCCACTCCAACAGCAGGGTCAGCCCTATTTCAGCCTCCTTTTCCGCCTCCACAAACCGTCCTTTTGTCAGATAAACCTGAGCCAAAACAACACGTGGCTCACCAACAAATGGGTTCCTCTCGATGCTACCTAATAACAACTCCTCAGCTCGCTCTTGCCCTCCCTTGGAATCATCACAGACAGCTTCCCAATACAAGTCCCTCGCCTCTATCTGCTCCTTAGCACCCAAAATCTTAGTGCAGTTCTCAAAAACTGGTGGCACCACAAGCTCGATATCCTCATCTCTCTCGGTTTCAACCCCAACACCACCTGTCCTTTTCCTTCGTTCCACAAAAATCTCTTCCTCTCTCACTATCAAACTATAGATTGCTCCCATCCTCGACGCAGAATTCAGCCACAGCCCTGGCTTCCCATTGCCGGGCCAAAAAGCAACATAATTATTCCCGGAAAACTCAAGCCGCCCATCAAAGTTTTCAAATAAAACATCCTGGAATCCAAAAAGCTGGTCACTGAAATCTGCTATAGTCATCAGAAGGAAGATTGCTACTATCCTTCTAGAGACCAACACATCTTCACCAGTCCTTATGTGCTTCACTACGATCCCATTTTCAGGCAAGAGTCCACGTAGTTTCTTCCTCCAAACCTCGTCTTCATTGAACAAACCCTTTTCTTTCGCATTCTGCAACGAAATCTCAGAAAGCTTAAGGTGTTCAACAAGTTCAGAATCAGAATACTGAAACAAAAGATCTTCATGAATTAAAGGTTGCCTCGGAACGATGCAGAACAAATGAATTAAACGCTCTGCCGCTTCACCAACATGGCCTCGAACTACCTCACGACCAGTGGAAGGATCGAATATGGCAAGGTTGACGTAAGAGTTGGAATAAGCAGAGTGAAACAGACCGCATAGGCAGACAGGATCTTGCGCTTTCCATACCTTAAGAATGCGGTAAATATCTACTAAATGATCTAAAAAGCTACCATGCTTGTGCCAGCACTCTCCGGCACCAACAGAACGCAAAACAGCTACCAAAGAAGGCAAATTCTTGTCCACAGATTCCAGCTCGTCACGAAGGAAGGGACGTGAAGACGCTAACAGGCTTTGGAGGTATTGCGTCGGATGAGATGGTGTTGGGACGAGTGAAGATGGCATGGTGACTTTGTTTTTGTTCTGTATATCCAGGAAAAGAAACGGTAGAGGAAGGTGGTGAAAGCCAAGAAACGGGCTCTGTTTTGATATCGTGGTGGTGATAGAGTTTCGGAATGCCAAGAGCTTTGTTCTGATATGGGGGGAGTGGCGTGATAGAGTTTGATTGTTGGGATGGATTTAGGGTTGGCGGAGATAAGCTTAGACTCTAGTTGACGTTGGATTTTGTTACCTATTATTCTTCAAAGTTGAAACGGATTCTCAACAGCCCTGTTTATCTGACAGATGTCATTTTTTCCGGAAATTCGGCTTCAATTTCTAGTTTATGAGACCAATGAGTTAACCTTTCGATCTGATACACCGGTGAAGGGATTTGTATTTGATGCATTGATAGATATTAATGAAGTAAAATTAAAAATATTTAAAAATTTTAAAATTTAAATAATAAAAAATGTTAACAATTAATTAATTAAATAAAAAATAGAAAAATCCCTTTCTTGTTCTCTCTCCAACTTCTTCCAAACTTTTTTTTTATTGATTTTCTTTCTCTAAGCCCTTCTTCTTCCTCGATTAAAATTACAAAACAAAATACTTCACTTTTCCTTAAAATCTCTGTCACCTTCTTCTATAAACATCTAAATTAAAATCTTATTGAATTTTTAAGAGAGTGCTGTCAAGACCTTAAGAAAGAGAAAGAGTAAAGAATTTGATATAAAGATCATTTTTTTTTTTGTTAAAAGAAAGAGAGAGAAAAGGGATTGCTGACCCAAAACTCAACAAGGAAATAATTCATTTTTGTTGGTTAGTATTGGAATTAGATGGGTTGAGCAGTTGGTCGAATTGACCACCAATTGTGATAAAAAAATCATTCCTAAAGTTGTGACCACCAATCTCTAGTTTATGAAACTTGAATGAGTTAACCTTTTGATCTGTACACTCATGAAGCATGTTACTGTTATAATAACATTTCAGTGCTTCATGTCCAGTCATCACCGTATGCAGCTATAGCAACTTTTTATTCTTTTTTCTATCCAGACGATATAAGTTAAAACACTTTGGAAACGAATAAGTGATGGAAGAATAATTGGAAAGGACAAAAAAAACCTGCATTGGGCAGCTAATCATGATTCATTAGATAAAATTAACTAATCCCTAAACTTTGTTTGCTAATTAATTTTTTAGTGTTTTTCCCAATACATCCGTAGGAGATAAGCATGTCCATTTAATATAGGATGAGATGCTTCAATTTCACCGGATAAAGATTGAACTCAACAAGTGATACAACAAATTGAACACATGACACAAAGACCACCATTAAGAGGGACAACCATCAGTCCAAAAATCAACCACAAAACACAATATTTCCATCAGATATAGTGTCTTCCTTACTTAACCACAAACAAACACTCCACAGCAGTATCATTAAAGATGGTTGGAAATTGGAATAGGACACCATAAAATCAAAAGAGCGTTAAACTAAAATTAGTGGAAGATTTAATTTGATTATATATATATTTAGATTTAGATATAAAGTAGATCAAAATTTAATTTGAATGTTATTCATCCAAATTAAATCTCTTAATATTGTTTCTATTTTGTAAATATTATCTAAATAAGGTTCTATTAATCTATAAATACTTGTCACTTTATTTGATAAATAAACACTTAAATAAATTTTTTACTTTCTTAATACTTTTTACTCTGTTCGTTCGTTTAAATTATATTACACTTTCCATGATAACATTTCAAGTTATATTACACTTTGTACAATAACATTTACAATGGACATGGGTTAATCTACAAAAGGAACCACTATAGATTTGCTCTCGAACCCACTGAGACTATAGCGGGGCTCACATACTAATGGTTCGGGGCCAGAATCATTGAAATTTTGTTTTGGTGATGAACTGAACTGTTGAATTATTGATTACCCGGAGACCTTTAAACCTTTAAAACGCCAATCATCGAAGAAAAATATCTAATCGAGTACTCAATGCGACAAAAGTAATTATTGCATGCCAATTTACCAACTGGCGGAATTTGATAAATTTTGACAAAAATCAATTATCCATCAGTGTAGAAAAAGAGATGAACAACAAGAAACAATCCTGACCCTTCTCTCCATCTTTCAGGAGCTCTTCCAAGCAAAGGAGCCAGCCGCACACAATCTCGCCGATTCTTCCCTTGCTTCCAACTTCCAATGCCATCTTCGCTATCTCTCCCTTCTTGCCAGCAACCTCAATATCTCCAAGCCCTCTTAGATTCCGCACGTCCATTCCTTCGAGGTGAGCTTGAATCTGTTGACAAGGACTTGCCTGGCCTGATTGCTGTCTTGCGTTCTGCGGGTGCCGGAGAGTGTTCTCACAAACATGGTAGCTTTTTGGAGCATTTGGTTGACATATACCGTATTCTCAAGATTTGGAAAGCTCCTGACTCTGTCTGCCTTTGTGGCCTCTTTCACTCCGCTTACTCCAATGCTTATGTAAACCTTGCTATATTCGATGCTTCTACGGAACGTGAAGTTGTTCGAGGCCATGTTGGTGAGGCTGCAGAGCGTTTGATTCACTTGTTCTGTGTTGTTCCACGTCAGACTATGATCCATGATAATCTTTTGTTCAAGTACTGTGATTCTGAGCTTATGGAACACCTAAAATTGTCGGAGATTGCATTGAAGAATGGCAAAGAAGAAGGTTTGTTCGATAGAGATGAAGTTTGGAGGAAGAAGCTGCGGCTTCTGTTACCTGAGGATGGAATTGTAGTGAAAAATATAAAGACAGCTGAAGATGTTACAATTACGAGAAGGGTGATGGCTGTTTTTCTTTTGATGAGTATGGCGGATTACTCTGATCAATTGTTCAGCTATCAGGATCTGTTGTTTGATAACTTTGATGGACGGTTCAGATTTTTGGGGAATAACTATGATGCTTTATGGCCTGGAGATGGCAAGCCCGGGTTGTGGATGAATTCGGTATCGAAAATGGGTGCGGTTTATAATCTCATACTGAGAGATGAAGGCATCATTTTAGAGGAGAGGAAAAGGGTTGGTTGTGCTGAGGTCGAGAAAGATAGAGATGAGGGCATTGAGCTCGTGGTGCCTCCAGTTTTTGAGAACTGCACAAGGGTTGTGGATGCCAAGGAGCAGGTAGAGGCAAGGGACTTGTACTGGGAAGCTATTTGCGATGGGTCTAAGCGTGGGATGGAAAGAGCTGAGGACTTGTTGCTAGGCTGCACTGCGAAGAACCCATTTGTTGGTGAGCCGCATGTTGTGTTGGCTCAGGTCTACTTGAATAAAGGGAGGTTTGAGGAGGCTGAACAAGAGGCTGAGAGAGGGCTGACCCTGATGTTAGAGTGGGGGAGCCCTTGGGACAAGAGAATGTCATGGGAAGGGTGGATAGCTTGGGCTAGAGTTTTGTTACTGAAGGCTAAGGAAAAGTCTTGGCCACAGAGTGCTTGGGGTGTCCTCAGTCTAGGACTTGTGAGGTGATGCTGCTGCGGTCCTGTTACTCTTGTGTGTTGTGCCATCTGCCAATGAAATTAGATACGATTTCAATGTAGGATTGTTGCTTTGACTTGATTCTGTATGGGAATTGGAAAGAGGATTGCAATGTGGATGCATTCCCTGCTTTTTATCCGTTTAATTCAATAAAATAAGGATGTCCTATCATTATTTGTTTAAACCAAAACCCTCCCCTATTTTGTTATTAAAGCTCAACTCCAAGTTAGCACTTTGTTAGAATCTACGAATTAGAGAAGGTCGATAAGCATAACAAAGAAGGTAAATAAAATTGGCAACAAATTAAAATTAGAAAGTACTAAATGCTAAGTAATGAATCTCACCACGATCCAACCAAAGCCACAAATTGGACCAAAAAGAAGACAAAACTCACAACACATTTAATTTCTTAACTATTTAGGCTTTAGCGTCCTTTGGCCCATATCTCCATGATCCAACACGCCAGAATTTGGACATTAAAAGGAATATCATCACATGCAATGAAATTTATACCATTCCAATTTTATATGATGTTTCAATCTGATTTTAAACCATGTTTGGTTTGGTTGGGAGAATAGAATAATTATTTTTTATTTTTGATTTTTTTTAACACTTTAGTTAGTTGGAAGGAATGATCATTTCTCAGAATGGTCATTCCGAGAGATGGAAAGTACTCGATACTTGCTATTGGCTATTTTAGAAGCCAAAGGGTAAAAAAGATTAATAGATAAAAATGTCCTTCATTAATTTAAGAATTACCTTATTATATAAAATACAATTTATTCATTTTTAATAATTTTTTTTCTCTTTTGACCCAACGGTCTCTCATTCTCTCAATAAATTAAAATGAATTTAAAATTAAAAGAAAAAAAGAAAAATTAAAATAAATTTAAAGGAAAAAGATTTAAGTTTTAATAATAAATTATAAAAGTTAATACTATAAACTTAAAAACTAAATTAAATTTTTTATATTTTAATATTTTAAAAATAAAGAATAAAATAAAATAAAATAATTAACGTTTTAATTATAAATTATTAATATTTTAATTGAAATATAAATTATTAAGATTTTTAAATTAAAATAAATAATCATATTAACATTTAAATAATAATTTATTAACATTTTAAATTAATTATTAAAATAATAAATATTTTAATAAATAAAATTTTAATCATTTATCACTTATTCTTTAATTATTCCTAAAACTATTTTCATCAACCAAACATTCGAATAATTCATAATAACAATTATTGTTCTATTCCATTCTTACGAACCAAACTATATAATAATTATTCATATCTTATTTTATTCCTACAAAATAATTATTTCATTTTTACCTTATTCTTTTCTATAAATCAAACACAACCTTAATGATTTGATTAGGTATGTAAGATATATATCCAAAACACCTAAACTTTGTCCTTTCTTCTTCCACCTAACTTACCACCCTTTGATCCTTGACCTCAATGAGACATTAATTAGTTTATGACCTAAATAAATATATGTGGCATTCAGTTTTCATGAAATTTCTTTCCATCGCAAACATGGTCTAACTGGTCCAAACTGATTTGAAGGAAAAATGGGAAGAAAGGGGAGGGAAGGGTTAAGACCTAAAAGGCCAAGTGCAAGGGGGCCGAACTTCAGTAGAGTCAGGCAATGAATATTTCAAGGAGAAGTAGAGTAATTAAATCGTATGTTTTATCCAATAGAGCATCAAGGAAAGGATATTACTACAAACCAAGCTTAGCATTTTTAAGGAGTTATTTTATGGTTACTTAGTCACGTTACCAGGTTATAAATAAATCCTTTTTTTATTTTTTATACCGCCTCCAGATTGTTTTTTAATTAATGGTATATTAGAAATAATAAATTAAAAAAAAAAATACAACAGGCATATAGATTCTAGATGACTACATTTCATTGTTGCCGTACAAGTACATCGTCACAATATTTCCTCATCAACCCAAACTCCAAATCGCCATTTTTATTATAATAAAACATATAAAATTAACCTTTAATTGAATAATTGGTCCAACATAAAGCCGGCTGCTTAGAGAAATTTGCTTTGCTGCTGTGAAAGAGATCAATTTATTTTAGACATATACATTGTATTATGATTACGTATGTGCGTGAGGATACAACATATATTAATGTGATACGGCCACTTGGTATTAATCTGTCCACAATTTCTCTCTTGTTTTAGGATCGGTGAGACTGACGCAGACTCCTGAACTGTTCAAATTAATATTTGAAAAGGGTTGGTAAATTTATTTAATGCCATTCGTTTTCCATTGTAGGACCTTGCATTCCAGCTTAAAAACAATGATATCCCCTCCAGCCAACCTTAATTTTGTTTATGGTTTATAAGGCGATTTCGTACCCAAATTCCATTTAAATAATGCATATGGATTGCAACTTTGATGCATGCTTGCTTTTTCTTAAAGAATGACCAATGGAAAATTTGCCTTGTCCAAAGATCAAACACTTGTGCTAGTTCCTATTTCATTTGGCAACAAGACTTGTTCCAAAAGTTGCAGCAATCATCCACTTGGAAGCATATGCACACTACTGCAAACAGCATTATGGGTAGAAGAAGACTTGCTGCTGATGATGATTCCAGTTTGATTTAAAAGAGGAAAGTGGTGATTCGCAATGATAATGTTGATACTATTTACTTAATATGTTTTCTTCTTCTCTTCCTGCAATGATCGAATCATTAAATTTTGGTTGAAAAGCTGTGACAGGACGCCAGAGAATGACGTTGATGCTTAGTGCTTGAATAGGCCATTGGAAAATTTGGGCGGTCGCCCCCTTTTACAGTCATATCTCACGATAAAGATTTGACATGGTCCGTTTCCTAATCATAGCTTGCGCCATCACAAATATCATCAACCACGTGTAACATTTTTAGAATTTTATTAATTATTAGAAAGATACCAGTAAAAACAAAACTAAAATTGATTGAGTTAGATGCTAGCTTAAGCAAATATAAGTTGGACAAGTGTCTTTTATACATATAGAGACAGAGATATTGGACTACCGGCGAATAGCACATGGTTTAGTGGGATCATTTAGTTATGCAAGACAAATTTAATGCGCATGTTATTTCATGAAGATTCATTGGTTTCATTCCAATATATATATATATATAAATAAATAAATAATCCCAAAGTTTTAATTTCGTGAATGAGATAATGTATAACTCATGGCAATGAATAGACATAATTAGAGCTCGAAATCACAAACTGCGAGAGAAGTAGGTGCATTAGCAAGGAAAGAAGGCTACATATCTTTTTGCATATTCTCTCAGGCAATGAATATTCGCATGTACAAAACAGAAATATCTTTGAATTTTGTATAAATAAGTATAGTCACGACTGTCGTGGAGATTTTCTTTAATGAATAGGCAATCGGTGTTTACAAGTAAAGGGCTGCTCCGGTTTCCCCAATCAGCAACTTGAGCAACTAGCTATCATTCTTTGAAAGGTAAGGCGCACAGTTTGTGCTTATATTAATGGTATTTACAGTCTGCATCCACGTTTGTTTTCCGAGAAAAACCAAGAGGAGAAATAAAAGAAGGTTCGCTTGGCAAAGTAAAACTAAAAGGTTCGCCTTTTGGGGCATTACAAAATGTCATCTATACTGAGGAACACGGCTGTTTCCCTTGAGAAAATCAGCTTGAAGCTAAAAAAATATTTGGTCATTTAACTAAATCATGGATGACACATGTGACTAGTTCCAAGAAAAGTTTTGCTTTTAATAGGCTCAACTTTTTTATTACGTTTCCAGAGTTCATGTCTTACGAAATGGCCGCTTTCCAATTTGTGACGTATAGGATGTGTGCACCTTTTATGCAAGGCCAATGTGTACAATAACAAGGGCGGAAAAAGAAAAAATGTGGAAACAATCACTACCCATTTCACCAAAGTTTGCCAGAAAGCAAAGCAACCATGCTTTCGATGTCAGAAATCCAGCTACTACAACTCAAACCAAAACGCAACTGAAACCAGCAAAACACAGATTTATATATCAACTCGTGTAACCGCCTAATACGTGTTCCTTTTAACCGTTTTATTTTCTTGTTTCACTGTCTTTCTGGGCTTTCTATTTGCTTTATAACTGGTGAAGTATTTGAGCAGAGATATGCACATACATGCATACATGGAGATTTTGATTAGACGTTTCCTAACTATTGCATGAGAATACCTCGTCAGGTATGTTAAATTCATGTTCTGTTTTTATTGATGGTGCTAAAACATTTCTAATTATCGAGGAAGTAATGATATGGAGTATAGGGGGGGAAGGCATGGAAACCCAGGAAAAGTTTTTGGGTTAATTTTCTATGCATTGTTTGTATTGGATGCTTCTTTGAAGCTACTGAAATGGTTCCTTGTTTGTTGCCCACTAGTTGGTTGATAAGCAACTTGGCATTTAATTAGTCCTTTCTTGTTTGCTTACTTATGCGTTGCACTCATTTCCTATCTTTGCATTTGATATATGATAATTTGTTTATTGAATCATTCTAGGAACTTGGTTGTTAGTATGTGCGTTCCAGTTTGCCATTGTTCACGTGAATCAATGTCGTTCCTTGCAATTTCTCACAATTATGTACCCTTCTGTACTGGAAAAGAATCAGAATTTCGGTTCTTGGTTTCTTGCTAATTTTATAAAACGGATTATGATTGGTCAAACTCCACAGTCAGATAATAATTCATTCCATCCTCATGTAGTAGGAAAAGAGTTAAAATATTCCACTTGATCTTCCTATTCTGATCTTATATAATATGATTAATGTTTCAAGACTTGAGGGGTCTAAATTCGAAGAAATGGGGTGCCTGCTATCGACGCCAGATGTTGCAGGGGAAACCAGAAGGACGCCAAAAAATATTGGGGAGATTGTAGTTTTTGTTCCTGGACTGAGAATTCCTATGCCACTTGATTTTACTCAACCACTTGGTGATGGATTATCCAAGAGTTTGGTTGAACGCCTATCTGCACTGAGAACACGTATAGTGGTCATGGCAGGTCAAGAAGCACCTATGACTAGTAAGCAAAGAAGAACAGCGACGCAACACGGTTTGCTGACTTCCTTAGAACTTTGAAATTTTCCATGGTAATTGTATGATGTTCTTGTTTAATTAGACACAAATCTTATAATGCAGGAGGTTCCACGTTGGCTGATCTGCAGCAGGCTCTTGAAGATTACTTGCCAGTTCTACTGGGGCTAGTTGAAAATGGTATGTAGATTAACTACATGCGATTTTGCCATGGAAAAGAAGCACTTCTTAAATTATGTTATAGTGGTAAACATATTGAGATTGCATCAGTCAATGTGGAGGGAATAAGTGGATATTTGATTGGTGATTCTTGTCTTATAAAAAATCCTACTACATTTTTGTGAGTTCATTTTTGGTTTCTGAGAACTGGAGTGAGGAAAAACTACAAATTTTCAAGTAATATATATATGTATATATATGTATGTATGTATGTATGTATGTATGACTTTCTTGTTCAAAATGAAATTGGATTCCACTAAGCCAAATGCTCACACTATTGATTTCAGTTCAGTTGACTGGAGGATTCTGTTCTCCGTACCTGAAGAATTACTATCTACATCTGCAAAAAAAAATCTCTTTTCCTCTTCTCCTTTTGAGCTTTTGATTTGTAGCTTGAAAGGGATCCTCCATTTTTGTCATGTCCCCTGTTTCAGAATAAGTCTTTTATCTTTTTGACCACTTACAGGTAACCAGCTAAAACATAACTTGCAATTCTGTTGGGTAAATCAGGAAGATGAAGTGGAGGTGAATTATCAGATGTGAATCCCCTTTTTTTTCTTTTTTTATAGCTGAGCCCCTTCAATTGCTACAGTTTCATTTTCAAGAAGCTTTTTATCATGCAGGAGACTACCATGTCAGATTCTTGGTATGAGGTACTATCAGTTTTGCAATTGATGGCAAGTCTATCATTGTCGCAGGCCAATTTATTGCTTCTTCCTAACACATCTGCTGATGGTTATCAATCTAAAGTATCAGAAGGTGAGACTAATTAATTCTTTCTTATCCATCTGTTGTAGCCTGTTCTTATTCTCTCTTAAGGTTTTTGTAGTCTGGGTAATAGGGGACTGAGAAGTATGTGGAACAAATTTGTTCCATGCAGTTCTTGAGTATCCAAGTGCCAACCAAACTAGTAATGACTTGTATCTATATTAGTCCATGAACTTCATCATTTCAGAGAATTTAATGTACATGAAAAATGCATATTGCATAAATCCCTTCTATTTATGATACAGTTATGAAAAGGTGCCATGCGAGGGATTACTGAGAACTATGTGTAACAAAGGTTGCATTATGCATCATAACTGCCTTAGTCCCTTAGTTTTGTAAATGATACATAAATTTAGAAGTACAACTATTGATGCATACTTGTATGAAGGATGCCCATCCTTTTAATTTACTTGCATCAATACACAAGGTTGCTTCACACTATCTTACAATGCTGACACAAATAAGCTTTTTTAGTCTGAGACTGGCTCCTTTAATAGTACCATGAATGAATCTGGCCCTTGAATGGATGAGACCACTCCTCAAAGTTCCTCGGGGAAGCTTTCTTGTAGCAGATCCTGACTCTTAATTTTACATTAATTCTACTCATTATGTTAACTTATATTTTTGGAAATTTCTGGTTTCTTTTCCTTCTTTGCAATGCTTTTTCCTTTTTGGATAATTAATTGAGTGCCACAACCAGGGGTGGCCTTCCCTATTCCTTATTCACTTGAAGATCCCCTTACTTTAAGGAAGGGGAAATGCCAACTGATCCTTAGGTTATTGGTACCTCAGGCTGTCAGGCAATGGTAAATGCCAATCTCTTTTGCTGAGTTGATAATCTTTAGGTGGCAATGCAGGGACAATATGTCAGATGTTTCTTTCAATTTCCTTTCCTTGCACTTAACATGTGACCTTCTCTGCTAGTCTGACCGCTTTCCCTTTTTTTATTAAGAGTGCAAACGAGCTTCCATTGATATCTTCTTGAAGGCAGCCGGATATCTGGATTTTGCAGTCCAGCAAGTTCTCCCCAAGCTACCCTCAGAACTTAGGTTTGCTCAAAAGATTTGAGTTCTAATACAGGTTTCCTTTTCCTTATGTATTATAATACACTAAGAGGACTAAACAGTGCCTAAAACTACTGCTTATTGCAGGAAGGATTTGCCATTAGACCTGACAGAGGGAGTGCTTAAAGCCCTTTGTTTGCAAGCATTAGGCCAGGTAATTTGTTAATATATAACTAGCAAGCTGATGTTCTGCTTTTTTTGCTTCTTTGATTAAGGCCCTGATATTCATTATTTAGATCTATATATAGAAATTGGTTATCTTATATTTAAGTGATGCCAAACTTCGCAGTAACAACAATAGATGATATATTGTATATACTATACAGGTACAACTCAAATTGCATGGTTGTAATTTTAAAGAAAATGGAAAACAACAAAATGGATGCTTGTAGAACTAAAGTCGATTCTCTAATTGTTAGTCAATGTTTTTTGGGATAATAGTAGTGATGAATGTTATTTGAGTTATTGGTTAAGAGTGAAATAAGAACAGAATGGGAGCAGAGGGGAATTGCTTTCAGATGTGCAATTAGGATATATTGAGTTGACAGGCATTCAGGTATATAGCAAATTCTACCAGGCAATGTTTGGTTAATCATATGGGCAGTTGATTCTGAATAGTTTTTTCTGCCCTGAAATGTGTAGGACCAACGTTTATGTCAAGCCAGAAACACTTGAAACAAACTGGGAGCACAACCTTATTCTGAAAAAGAAATGATTTCCTAAAAACCTTGAGGAATTATTCTGATCAAGACATATTTAGATTTAGACTGATGAAGGATGATCAATATACAACTTAAACTTGTTAAATAGATGCTTCTTGGAGGCTTAGTTCAGTCAGAATTGTGTACATTAGAACTTATTTTCTTGCTAATGTTAATTGTTTCCGCTTAAACACAAATATACACTTCTTGCACTAATTTCTTTCTTTCTCTTTTCCTGCCTTCTGCTGCCTCTAATTCCAAATTCACAGGGTGTTGAGATTCAACTGGGAATGGCAATTGATAGTATCAAGGCCACACTGGCAGTGAAAAGGAGGCTAGCGTGTGAGATGGTTAAATACTGGCATCAGGTAAATTCATCATTCGTTCCATGCAGGAGGTAGGTGCTTGTGCTAAACTAGGATCGAGTGATGAACATAAGTTTTTCAGCTAGTGTTTGTGATCTTTGCTTCTTTTCTCCTCCATCAAGATTAAGTGGAAAGTATTAGTCAAATTATATATTTTATTCTCTTTCCGTAGTTACTCATCAATCTGATGGAAGCTTAACTTTATTGGACTCTGAAGTGGTCAACTTTAACCTTTAACGATGTCTTGTTGATACATTTAATGCAGGCTCAGGAGTACATAATGGACCTTCCTCTAGCAAATGGATGGGGAGAAAAGCATAAGCTTTTCATTCAGTGGAAGCATGTTGAAGCTAAGGTATAAATCTCCATAACCACCCACTGGGCCACTACTTGCACTAGTTATTTTTGTAGCAAAAGTAAAGATAAGAGTGCTTGATGTGGTGGGGATTTGAACATGTAGGCGTCTCTTCTGGAGCTAGTAGTTCATCACCATCTCATTTGGTCTTTTTGGTAGAGGTCTATGACTAATGTTTTATCTAACCAGTTACCTTGACAAAAAGGTACAAGGTACATAGGTCCCCAGGGAGTATGTAAATGTAATAAAGAATGTTTCTTTATCAACGGTTATCAGTTTCAGTCTGCAAAGAGGTTGAGTGGGTTCTGATTTCTGCAATTTGAATATTCCCTCTAACTCAAATCCAGCCTTAGAGTCCATATGATTGACGATTATGGAGATCAATGCTCTCAGTACATACTAGTCCCTTCCATATTTGCATGTGAAATGCCTAATTTCTCTGTTTAAAACACTTTTTTAATGCTTTTGAATCTAGTCCTAGAAGAAAACTGTTTCGGTCTCTTGTTGTAATGATTTATATAGAATGCTGAACCTCACCTTTTGTCCTTTTGATGCTGGACTTCAGCATCTAACTGTGAATATGACATATCCTTTTATTCCAGGCTGTTGCATACTATCTACATGGATTAATCCTTGAAGAATGGAACGCAGAAAGGTCAGCTGAGAATGCTGCAGCGGCTCTACGTGCAGCAGAAGAGTATCTCAAAGAAAGCAAAAAGGCTTGCGAATCCTTTCATATGACACCTCCTTCATCCTGGTAGTTTACTTCTGACCTTTCTTTTGTGTATAACTAAATGAATGTCTGGATATGTATGGCTGTTTCTAGACAAATGCTGGAACATTTATGCGACTTATATGTGGAAAATTCAGATGACAGAACAATCATTTCATTATCAACTTTCCTTGGTTTAATTTCATTGCTTAAAAACAAGTTCTTATCGTGAATCTTTTCCTTGAGGTCCCTTACAATCAAAATAGTTCATTTACTAGATAAGAGAAAATGGAAATAAGTATAGAATCTAGCATTGTTAGCATTTCTTTTCAAATGACCCATTTTAAGTAACCAGTTGATTGCTATCAATAGATATGAGGAGATGTGGACAAGTGCAATGTGTTTTTTAACTTCTAATGCAGATGAGTTACATTAAAACTGGAGAATGTAGCACATTGGAGCTGCTGCCCCCTACCCCATCAACAGTAAGGGATAAAAATCAATAACCAAAACTTTAAAAAGTAAAGCAGAATAGCATAGATTGTCTCAGGGCCTGGTTTAAGTAGTAGATTGTGTAGCATTTAGTGTTTATTGATTTGTTTTACCCCAGATTCAACTAGTGGATAGATGACACACCTTGCTACAAATGGTGGAAGGAGCTTTATTGTTGTAATTTTGTTCTGTTGTTTTTAAGATGCTTCTGCTTTAGCCATCTTCTCTTAAATACACTACCACTTGCTTTTGGTCCAGTAATCCTCCTCTCTGGGGAGCTAGCAAGTATCTTTCTGAGAGGATTCCAAAAGACATATCAAGCAAAACATTCCATTGGGATTCACAAAATCATGAAATGTAAGTCGCTATATTTGGTTTCATTTTTAATTTTTAATTCCTCTCCTTTTTCAACTGTCTAGAATTTAGATTGTTAGAAATTGAAGTTGATGTTTGATTTACCTTCCTGTAAGTAAAAACATGATCAAGGGAAATGCTGGATGATTCTTCCAAAACTGTTATTTCTGACTGACCCTTTCTATTCTTGTACATTGGTAACTATAATGCATCCCGAGCCACTTATTTTGTAAAATTTATGTTCCAGGATTTTGCAGTTAGCTCCAGCATTGCCAGACTTTGTTTTGTCCCTAAAACCTGATGATTATCAGCTTCCTTCAATGGATCCTTCATGGAATGATTTACAAGTCCAAAATTTGTTTCCTACCAAGTGAAGCCTCATAAAGACATGAAATGTGTACCCAATATTGAAAAAAAAAAAAGTGTAAAACATCATATGGATCTTATCAAAGTAAGTTTTTGAATGTATTTCGATGATCTTTGCATTTTCGTATTCTTTACTTTTGTCTTTTCATTTTACTTCGAATATATATGGTATTCTGTCACTTTTCTTTGCTTATTAGACCTTTTCGCTCAAGGTTTTTCTTTTTTTTAATCTTTGAAAGGCAAAATAGGTTTTATTGATGGATGTTAGATACATAAAACCCACTAAGCAATCTCCAAAACAAGGGTAACGAAAAGCTACATTAATATGAAATTAGATTAGACGTTTTATGTGTTTTACTTGATATAATTTAATATTAATATTAATATATGATAATAAATATCTTACGTATTAATATATTATAATTATTAATATTAATTATATATATATAGTTGATATGTTTGATGTAATTTATTTATTTATAATATGTTTTTATTATTTAATTTATGAATTAAATTATGAAATAATTTTATTGATAAAGGATTGGGGGAGGAGAGATTCACATCTTATTCTTATCAAAGGGAGAGCTAGGCTGAGATTTTGACAGTTTATGTGAAAAATAAACTGACCTGACCCCATTCAAATTTTCTCAACCTATGGTATTTTGGGTCGGGCTGGTCTGGTATTGACATCTATAGGTGCAGCACAACCAAAACTGTGGGATGCTGTGAATTAGCAAGCTTTGAATAACTTCACGGTAGAGCACATGTAAGAAAGCTAAGACCATTGCCAACTCCTGCCATCAAATAGAGAAGCTTCCCGGCCTGGTTCCATTCAGTCACAGGCTCAGAGCTTCGGGTCTCGCCTAAGTTAACAAATGCGTCTGAACTTGCCATATGCCTTCCGAGACACAGGGTGGTTCATTAATTGGATTACATATGTACATATATCCCTGACAAGTATAATTCCAAGAATATATCTCGTAATGGACTCAAAAACACCTAGTAGTCTGAGTACCATACCTTGTAATCCAAAAAATACTTTATAGACATCGTATAACTTATAATGATTTTCAACTACAAAATGCAAGTAAGAAACACCCGTACATTTTCTATACGTGCAACAAGAAGAGTAGAAGAGCATGTGCGTAAACGGTGATAGACTTCCTCCGAGTAAAAATATACACAGGGCTATGCAAATAAGAGCTAGGCAGCTAGCAGAGAAACATTTTGAGGGTGAAATCGTTGGATAAATGGCTTAATATATTATATTTTTTCATGCATTGATCTTCATGTTAACAAGTACTTAAAATTCTAATTAAGTTTGTTGTTTATAATCAGTATACTTTTGCTTGCCTTATTTTTTGTTAATATAATATATTTTATGAAAATAATTTATTATTACTTGGGCCCCTAATTGAAGTTAGATATTGGGAACATTGCTACTAGAATTTTTTGAAAAAAATAAAAAGAAGCGATTTTTTTTTTGGAAGGTCTACTAATTATGTAATATTATTACTAATAAAATTTAAAGTAACATACTAATTAGTGCTTAAACTTGTTATAATTACATTATTACAAAAAACGTATTGGGATTGTAAATCCTTCTCTAAGCACCTATCAGTAATTCTCAATCACTTCTATCATTCTTCTTTATTCGACAAAGTACATAGTCATAATCATTGTCATGCAGTGAAGCATTCAAATTATACTCTTGCATGATCCACCTTCCTAGTTGTTCCGTCACTCCACCCTCGTATGTATATCTTTTCTTATATCCTAATAGCTTTTCCATGTACCAGTACCAACGGAGCGATTGATTCTAGAACCATCGAGGTTCTTCTTCAACTGAGTGTAGAAGTAGAGGTCTTCACCAGGTTGAAGCTTGTCCCCACCATACAACTCCCAAATTTCCCAAGGTTCTTTCTGGCCGTACACATCGCATTCCTTGATTACGTTTCCCGGATGCATCTTGCCACTGACTTTGCAGTAGGGATAGCCTATAAGCAAAGCATCACTCGGCTCAAACCTAAGCCCAACCACCAACGTAGGGGCAGCAGCCGCTGTAGTAGCATTGTCCTGATCCATCATCAGGTTGCTTTCTCTTCAACGATCGCGTGGAAGGGAAAGCAAAAAGAGTTTGTTGGTTAGAAATGAGACTGGAGTGGTTATGCTATGGAAACTAGAGCTGGAGAGGTTTCGTTACGTGTTACTGCTCGTCGCTTTTATATATGGAGAGGATGGCTCCTAATCCAAGACGGACAAGTCCAAGAATTTGAGGTGGATTGAATCAAAAATGAAAACAAGACTTCATTCATCAATCAAGGTATGATTATTTTCTTATTCTTTGTTTATATATTATATGAGAAGAAATTAAAAACAAAAACTGGAAATAATTGGTCGTAGAAATGCATAAACTATAGAATAACAACATTAATACACAGGCATATAAATTTAAAATTAATATTTTTTATTCATACTATTTATTTATATATTATATGAGAAGAAATTAAAAACAAAACGGGGAATTAATCGGTCATAGAAATACATATACTATAGAATAACAACATTAATACACTGGCATATAAATTTAAATTAAAGATTTTTTTTCTTTCAAATTTCAAATATTAAATGCCTTATTTGGAAAAAAAAAATGAATAACAGGATCAATTCTAGGTTAAAATCATTAACAAAATATAAAATGATTAAGAAGGGTGTTGTGTTAGGGTTGTTAGGATATACTTGATTAGAGTTTGTAACGGAATTTAAAACATTTTAGAATCTTAAACCATAGATTTCTTTACTTGAAAATAATATAAGCAAGGAATTGATGGTTTACCTTAAAAGCCTGAAATCGAAATTGCTAAGTGACTTCTTGCTTATCTTTTGATCCTTCTTTCTCCACCAACAACTGTTGTGTCAAACTTTGGGCACAAGTGGTTGTGTTAAATCTTGAGCAGGACCGAATCTCTGGTAGTAGACTCTCTCCTTAGAACCCCTTGTTTTTTCTTAAGTGTTGAAGATCTTAATCTCAACACATGAGAAACTAGAAATATCATTTTAAGGATTTGTGAAAGTTTTCTCTTAAAACTTATTTTCAAGGAGCAACTAATGATCATTTAAATAGAGAGGTAGAAGAATTTTAATCTAACTCTTAGATTAACTCTTAATCAAATTAGAATTTGCCTAATGTATTGGATTGCATTGGGCTATAAGTCTTTTTGGTCATTAGTAGCTGATTAGTCCATTAATTATTTAATTTAATTAAATTAAACAAGGTCCAATTATCTTTTAAAGAAATCGGCCCACATGTTGGATAATAAACTCTTTTGTTTAAACTACTTGCAATAGCCTTAAATACTGATAAATTGAACTCTCTCTTTCAACTTCATCAATCAAATCCTATTTGATTGATTCCCAAATTAATTCCTAATAATTACTTTATGTGTGTGATTTTTTAAACTTCTCATTATGTTAGCAATAAATATAAATTGGAATTTCAAACCTCGTAAAGAATTAGACGAATCAAATCAAATTTGACTTCACCACCAATTCTCTAATCGACCAATCATACCTATAGACCAAGATTGATTTCTAACAAAGCATCATGACCACCTAAATTTTAAAAAAAATTTATATGGTTTGACTCAACTTTTCGTGTCTAGTCTTATGTATAATTCGATCCTATTATGATGTATCCCAAATTGGACAAAGAACATGGTACAATGTCTACTTTAAATACCATCCATATTTGCTATTAAGCCTTGATGTCAACTTTAAATGATACCTTATGGAAACTTTTTTCCTTCCATGCTACTTTTATGTAGGATGCTTCCCCTTTAACAATCTTCACTTGGGGTGATGATTCTCTAGAGACAATTCATTTATCTTTATATGATTCATACAATATCCAACTACATCCTTTTTGAGCATCCTTAATTAGAATTTGTAGAGATGAAATCAAAATATAATACTTTGATAACAATGAAGTCTCAAATTTAAGGATTACTTACATTACTAACACATGAGAATTTAATCTTTTGAGACTTTGGTGAAATATTAAATGAAATTCTCATGACAAGTCAAGTTTAATGAAGTTGTTCTTACTTGAACAAGTACCTACATATTTGTTTTAAGTATCCTATACATCAATCATATGAGATCGATTACCTATTCATAGTGAGAAACATTACATGTGCGAACCTTGAAACATTATTGATCCTCGATCTCAGTAATACATTGGCTAGGAACATTTAAAATGTGTATTTTAATGTATTAGAATCTCATCATAATTGTAACTTTCTAAAATTTATATGCATAGCATCAAATATACAAGAGTTTCATCCAAATTAATTTTATGATAACTTATTATCCATAAAACTTATTTGATGAAGTGAAACCTTTTAAGATTTTATTCATTTTTCAGTTTATATCGCTTGCCCAATGAATTAGCTCGCAGGTATACACTTACATCTATAACATTATTAAAAGGGCTTCCTCATTTTGCCACGTATAAGGCTTTAAAGAGGGTATTTTAAAGCTCTAACAAGATGCCTTCAAGAAGGGGTTTTAGAGCTCTAACAAATTTTCAAAAAAAATATTTAAATTGCCCCAGCGTGTGCGTACAATTAACAAATAAAAAATGTTCCTTAACAATTCTATCAAAGAACAATAGTAGACTCTAAAACAAAGAAAAAACAAGTTGATAACAAATTTGAAGAAAAAACAAAAGAAGAAGATGAAAATGAGACTTACAAGCTGAGCAGGCCAGTAACTGTATGAGAGCAAACAATTTTGATTAATTCAACAATAAAATCAAGAGTGAGTCAAACTCAGAACTAAAGCATCAATCAGACTATCACGAATGCATGCTTGCACAAATGTCTTTCAAAACCATCTCATAATGTTTCAACTTCCCCTCTTAAGTCCTCTCCCAAAGAATGGATAATGAGTTTACCGATTTGCCATTGCCTCTCTGACATGCATCGGTTTATCAGTTCTGAGCAGACCCAGAGGTTGGAATCATATCCAGGGCTCTCAGTATAAAAGCATATGTCATGGCATCTTCTTGAAGCCTCTCAAATCTACATTCAACAGAACATGAACCAGTAATATATATTAAAATCATATAACTTACAAATGTAATATTCAAAAAGCTAATAACTTTTATTAGTACCTTCCGGATTTTGAAAAATGGCCAGCACTAAGTTCACATTTGAACAACAGATCATTGCCATCAGTTTTCATATCCCTTAGTTTAGCTACAAACTTCGCAGGTTCGGAGTACATAACTCGCGGATCTGTCACAATATATTAAAAAGATTAAATTGGGCCGTACAGAGAATACTAGATTTCTACTCCCAACTTTTCCAAATGTAATCCAACGAAACAGAATCTATCGACACTACTATGACATACACCAGCAAGATGCTTCAAAAAGTAATACTAGACAGCATTTTATTGAGTAATAAGCATAAATATAGGAGTAATTATGTGGGATTATTTGGCAGGTTCTCAATTGTTAGTGTGGACCTTGCAGTTTGAACATCTGATTTACTTCTAGAACAAAAAACTTCCCCAAATTTTGGAAGTTACTTGACAAGTAGGCAATATCCTGCAACATCAAATGGATTTTTATAATCTTTTAAGTCACATTTTGCCACAGTTGGACATAAATCACAACTAACAAATGTTAGTGTCTCAGGATAATAAGCAATCAAAATCTCAGACGCAATCAGTTTTCAAACAAGTGTTAACTGCAAGCAAGCAGCACATACAGGGTTCTTAAAATTGTGCACAAGTCTTAAAACAGAGAAGATCTGTAAGAGGTGCAGATGTAGTTGTGCCCTTGTATGTGTCTTTCACTACAAGAGGTGCCCATATTTTCTACAGCAAACTTCCTATCCAAGTAGCTTAATTGTTCACAGATAAATATGTAGAAAGAGGCTCTTTTAACCACCCGTAAAACATTGCTATCACTTAACAACTTCAATCCCAAGAAATTCCTTCAATCATAGCCAGGACAGTTCTAAGCTTCCTACTTATTTAAAATATTTCCCATGCGTTGTTAATCTGTAGAATTTTCCATTAGCAAAGGCAAGCAATCGACTCCCTTGCTTTCAACCTGTCAAGGTTCCTATGATGACAAACTATGAGTAATGCATTGACAAAAAGAAAACAAAAAACATGCATTAAGCCTTTATACTTACCGTGTAAACCAGCTGTAACAAGGATATTAGGATAATTTTGAGCCTTTACCTGTAATATATAAAAATATTAAAGCCTAAACATAACAAATAACTTCAAGTAATAAATATTCTGCACTCCACAATCATGTTTGAATAAAAAACATTTTGCTATTCTATGGAACACTAGTCAAGAATGCCAGGAAAAAAACAGCATTAGAGTCTTACATTATCAACAGGGGAATACGACTTCATATAGAAGTAAAACTCTTCCTTGCGAGGGTCACCCCATTCCTGTTGTGGAGAGAGAGAGAGAGAGCATGGTTAGCATTTTACTAGTTGGACTCAAGGATTTAATTTTAAACAAATAAGGCTTATATGATATTCAATAAAAATAATTGAAAATTTTCAGGGTGGATCTTAGAACAAAGAAAACAACCCCATATATTTAATTTAAGGATAAATTTGTTAACCTGATAAATTAATAGGATAACTAGGTCATCATCTATCATTAGTAATAGAGTCCATGCTTCTACATAGTACAGATTTGTACTGATGGTTATGATGCACACAAATGCAGAGTGTTCACAAAAATCAAATAACACTGAAATTACTTAAACGTGTTAACACATAATTACATTATTCAATAAGCAGGTAGTCTCCACAATCATGATATTAGATTTGAGCATCAAATCAATCTCCTTAAAAGAGTTAAAGTCTGCCAAGCAGAGAACCCAGTTCAATATATATATGCGACCAGCACCATGTACCACATTGTTCAATAGTCATGCAAAAAAAAAAAAAAATCCTTGAGGAGGAAGAAAATACCTCCCACTCTGAAGTTGTAAGAGGGATAGTAGGGTCAAGCATTGTAGTCAGGACATCTACAAAAGGCACTCCAGCTACAGCAGCCTTGAACAAATCAGGCCTCATGTTAAGTACAGCACCTATAAGCAATCCACCAGCACTTCTTCCCTCAATGCACAATGTTTCCTTTGAACAGTACTTCTTTTCTATTAAAAACTCAGCACAAGCAATAAAATCAGTGAAAGTATTTTTTTTCTGGAAAAACTTCCCGTTCTCATACCACTGCCTTCCCATTTCACCACCTCCACGAATATGAGCTATTGCAAAGATAAAACCACGATCTAATAGAGACAGCCTCGATGCCTTAAAGTCAGGATCTACGCATGTCTGTTAACAAACAAGGTACATCGTATATTACAAGTCTGAAAAATAATAATTATAGACCCACACTTGTGCTTGTTCAACTAAAAGGATACATCAAATTGATGCAGCAGATAACACACATGTCAAAATCATTGTTACAATATTAATGAAATATTATCAATGAAAAAATTTGACAGCTCCACATTGTTTTCATCATTTGCAACAATGAGTTGAAAGATCAAACTGGTTGAACGTAAACCAGTAAAGTGGCTTCTTCAAAGATCATTCAACTTTCTAGATACAGAATTTTAAGAAACTAAAGGGAGAAAGAGGAGTGAGGATGGATGCCCCAAGAATTGAAACAAGAATGAAAACTTTTAGAGGCTTTCATAGTGTTCACAAATCCAGAAAAGGCTCGAAAAACCTGGGACCAAACCCTGCAGGGTATAATCAAGGAAGACTATAAGAGCATAGAAATTGTCTTTCACACATCACATTAAAATAAACTGCCTATTTATCTATTTAGTTATATATTTTCATTATGGTCTAAGCAAACCAAGATCTGTGATCAAATGGAAGCAGAACAACCCCATTTGGCAATTAAGCACCTCTAGCATGAATTTACCCCATCAGCTGCATTGTTTACCTCATATGAACCATAGCCATAAAGCAACATTGGATCAGACCCATCAAGCTTGACAAGATTCTTTTGGTACACAATTGATATCGGAATCTGAGTACCATCTGAAGCAGGAGCCCATTTCCTTTCAGTGATGTAATTAGATGCATCAAAACCTCCCAAAACCTGAACAAGAGATAATGCACAATATTAGTGCAGTATAACATATGCCGAACCAAATACAATAATGAAATACAATTTCACAAACCTTCTAATTTTATTTCTGACCAGTGAGAAAAAAAGGGACCAAAGTTTCCAGATGGACAATGAGTTCTTTCACAAAAAACGATCAATACCCTTTTAAGAACAGATCAACTCACTAAAAACTAAAATAGTTTCACAAAAACTCCGAAAAACAGAGAAGGAAATTGCCATAAAAAGCAGAAAACTATCGATACATCGAAGAACCCAAGCAAAAAGGGTCAGAGAGAAAAAGTCACATGAAGAAACATAAGAAAATGTATTTTACATTTAATGAGCAAGAACCGTTAGTCCTTTGATCAAATTTAAGGCCAAAAATGTTGACTACATCTGAAAAGTAGTACTATTTGGAAATTTTGGAAATAATAAAGTGAAATTTTCTAATATTAGAATATCATGAACACTATTTATGATCTTGGAAGGTCCATGTTTAAGTATAAATCAGTTTAGAAAACCATGGTCAACTAAATTGAATGCAGTGTGTTAACTGTGAGGCCAGAATTATGACTGAACATCGTAGCATGCATCAGAAACCTCCAATTCCTAGTCAACTGGAATAAACAGACTAAAAACACAACACGATATGATATAGAAGGCGTTACTCAACAAGATACATTCCACATGAGGACTATTATTGGTACATGAAAAGATAAAATCTAGAAAACAAAGAATATTGTTACATGAAGGTAGGAAGAGCAAACCACAGATAGCAAAGCAACATATACTCAAGGAGGAAACTAGGTAAAGACAATTATATTTGTAATTTTCTTTTCTGGTACTAACTACACCTGTAATTTCCGTGTAAATAAGATCTAGCCTAGTCAGTCACATACTCAAATATTGCATGCTTAACCCTAGTTTTACTATTTAGATCTTTGACTTACTCTATGCTTCGTAAAATCATTTCTTATCATGGCTCAAATATTAAAAATCAGCAGTGCTTACAGTTTCAATCTTCTTCAAAACGGACTCCCCAGTATTCATGTCATAGTCGTAGACACATGGAGGCATCCTCAGTGAGCTATATGAAAATCGTAAAATGGTGGTTGAAAATTGTGATTCTGATGGACCCACTGAGTATACAGGGTCAACAAATTGAACTGCTTGGCCACCTTGGAGGGTTATGAGAGGCTCATCAACAGCTGGAAGGCGGTAAGTAGTAATTGTGGGCAAACCCTGTTCGCGCTCATAGACAACAAGATGATCACTGAAAAGTTTAACATCCTGAATCTTTACACTGGAAAAGAAAAAAATAAAATGGTAAGCTATAAGTCACAGTAAGGCATATCTTTCAAACATGCAAGCACCAAAGCTATGACACAACCAGGAAACTCCAGATTCCCAGCCCCAAACCTGAACAAACCCCCACCCCGTCCACACTACCAAAAAAATCATACCAATAATTGAAAGCTTGCAAAATAGTAACTAAACTAAATCAATCACCAATGAAGCAAAGCCTCCGTCCACATGGGAGTGAGAAATCAACATTTCCACTTCCAAAAACCCAGAATAGCATTTGGTAATTTATCCACAGTTTCAAAACTCAATAAAAACATAAACTATACAATCTAAGGTCCAACCCAACAGAAAATTTTCATCTAGGTTTTAACTCATCCTTTCACCGGTTATGATCAAATAACCACAGGTGAGAACTGATGATTTCACTGGTTAGAGCACTAGCTCCTTGCACATACATCATTTAAATCATTGGATGGTTTAACTTGTATTTCTTGCAAAAGCAGCCATCATGAAACAGACAGTGATTCAATACTGAAAAAGAAATAATTAAGCAAAAATGTATAGCAAGTTAAGTCAAGTAGTAACAAATGATTCCTCAGCAAATCCTGCTCTGTTTGGAATTGTATAATATCATTTCAAAACCAAACCGGTTAGTTGCTGCAGCATAAAAGGATATTCAGCAAAAAGGGTGTTTCTATGTTGAAGCAATTACATGTTCATAAGATCACACAATCCAAACACCCTCCCCCCCACCCTCGTAGTCTCCCCACCCCCAGTCATAACTATGATACTCTAAATAATGATTTAAGTACAACTCCAATAGAATCGAATGCCATATATCACCTATGAATTAATGCATGGTCATTGTAGATGGATTTATTTAGAATTCATTCCAACCTTGCCCTGTGAGGAATAAGAACTGTTGTTTCAGATGTATTATCCACTGGACAAGCTAGTAGTTCCGAATTGAAAAACTCATCACTTCTCCGCTGGATAAAAAAATGATTTCCACGATGACTGACTGAGGTATCAATGCCGTTTATACGGAGCGTCAAAACTCTAAGCCCATCTTCAGGCTTTGAAACCTCAAGATAAAAGACAAACCTCGTAATTTTGCTTTGGGATGCAATAAATAAAAATTTCTCACTCTCAGAAGCTCCAAGATCAAGAGAAAACATATCATCCTTCTCATGGTAAAGGCATGAGTCACTGGATTGTTCTGACCCCAACTTATGCAACCATACCTGTCATCAGCAATAAAATCAAGGCAAATTACTGGAGTTGTGCTTCGGAAAATAACATAAGGAAGGCTCTCGATTTAGATTAAACTGATTTTCCCATTGCCTGCCAACAAAGCAGAACAAGAAGATAAAGATAACAAAAATATAAGTCTACCAGGAATTGAAGAAGGCACATGATCCTGATATCTAGAAATAATATTACATGCAAATGTAATTTATTATTAGATCCTACAGGTTAAAGGTCTCATGAATGTTAGATTTATACGTGTAAACGCCCAGAAAAAGGGATACATGAGCAAAAACAATACATGCTATATCCTTTAGCATCAAGGTGCTTGATAAAAGAATATCAAAATTGGCATAAACTGGAAATTTTGCTCTCCATCGTGCAGTTATAAGAACCTCCAGTTGAAACTCAAATATTTAAGTAATCAGCTTAGAAGAATTAAATGATTAAACTTGCTGCCTATCTTTAGGTTTTCTGATGAAGTGATCCAAGAGAGCACATTAACATCACAGAATACATAGAGAAGCCTCAGATAGAAACTCTTAACAGACATGCATTACACAATTAAACTAATCACTAGCTGTTGTATGGTCATATTATGTAGATGTCCATCTTCGTAATATAAAGAGTATGATACAGACATTCTTCAATGGATAATGGTACTGATACAGATACCACTGGCGCAAAACAACATGAGCAGAGAAAGGGACGGGGGGAGGGAAGGGGGAACTAATGGAAGGCTAGAGCTATGAACATTAAGAAGCAAGGGAACCAAAAAAAAGGATTAATGTCTATAACAAGAAGTGAATAAGTTAAGGCATGGAAATAGAAAACTCATACCTTATCTGGCCGAAGGATCTCATCCATTGTAATGTAGACTAAAGCTTCATTACCAGCCCATTCAAGATATGGCGTTACACCTACTAATGGCGTCCCCACCACAGCTCTGGTCTCTGCATCAATTACATAGACTGTATAAATTTCATCTCCTTTAGTGTCTTCAGCGTATGCAACCAACTTATGGTTTGGACTGACCTGAACAACAAGGTGCAGAAAGAGGCCTCATATAACAAATGATCCTTTAGAAAAGGGAAAGCAAGCATATTCAAACGAATTTAACAGATCATCTCTCACCTTGAAAGCACCAATTCTATAAAAATCATATTCTTGAGCCTTAACATTCTCATCCAAGATTACATGCTCCGCCGGAGCATCAGGCCCTGTAGGCATGGTGTCATTAACAGAAGGTGGAGCATCGCGATTAGGAACGAGACGCCTACAATATTGAACATATTCTTTCCCTTCCAATGTCCTTGTATAATAATAGTATGGCCCTTTTCGTAAAGGTGCAGATATATCATCCTCCCTTATTCGACCTCTTATCTCAGCATAAATTTCATCTTCAAATTTTTTGGTCCCTACAGCCGGATATTTAACTTTCAATAAATGTTACACAATCGAAGAATAATTAAGCAACCAAACAAGTGAATGCAACTCAATATACTTTCAGATCAAAACAGTAGCAAAGTAGCTCTAACATTGACGAGAAACAAACAGAAAGTTGAGGAAGTTTATATATATATATATATATATATACCGGACATCTTGGCCTCGGTATAGGCGTTTTCTTCTCGAAGATAAGAAATGACTTCAGGATTCTTGCGGGAGTCATCGCGAAGCCAGTAGTAATTGTCAACTCTAACGTCCCCGAACAACTCCATCTCGTGCTTCACCTTCTTGGCCAACGGCGGAGACGGAGGTTGAGACGGAGAGATCATGGTGGCCGTTGATTGGTGAGAGGGCGAGGGCGACGGTCTTGGATGTGCGGCAACGATGCGATGTGAAGCAGAAAAAAGCAGCGCTGGAAGATACAGAATTCCGCCTATACTCAAACCTCGCGGATACATTTGGAACATAAGGTGAACTAGAATTTTTTTAAATCTTTTTCTCCATTTGACATGTTAACATTATCTCATCATCTTATTAATATTACATAATATTAAAATATTATTATATCAATATCACATGATATATTCATCATCGTATCACATAACATTACCACATCAATAAAATTTATCAAGTCAACACTAATGTTATTAACTTTAATGAAAAAAAACTAAACTGTTATAATTCTCAAAAAATAGATTAAATTGACCAAATTTTAAATATAAATCTAAATTAATGAAAATACATTATTATTATTATTATTAGAAACAATTTAAGTACTTTAATCAAGATATTTTAGTGAAAATGATGAGTTACTGTTATTCTTTTCATCAATATATATATGGGACGATTTTTTATCGTTAAAAACGAAATTGTTTTAAAAAATAACTATCTTTTTAATGTTAACTATTTTTAATCAAAAGAAAAAAATTTTGAATAAAATTAGTTTGAATGAAATCTTTTTATATTCAAATTACACTATCTAAAATTTGAGTCAGCTTCAGAAATGGCAACTGAAACAGTGAAGAGTGCAGCTACAGCTACAAGCATGAGGAAGAGAAAAATGATAACAGATGCAGCCTTTGAAAGGGTTGACAAGATAACGTTTCAATTTTACATAAATAATGGACTAAGACTCAAAATCTCCCCAAATGTCGTGCTTGTCATGAGTATTGGTTTCATTACTTTTGTTGCCATTCTCCATGTTATAAGCAAATTGTACTTTGCTCATAAGGAGGCTTGAAAAGTGTATTAACATTAGCAAAATTAAGTTTCACTCTGTTGATTTTCAATTTTGCTTTGATGGATTCAATTTCTCTCTTTTTTCCTTAGAATACCAGCATTTTTTAATTTTCTTGTATTAAAAAAATAAATAAAATAGTCAAAAATATAATGATCCAAATTAGAGGATTTTGGATAATATCTTTTTATCCAAATCCATTTCATTCCAGCGAGTTGAATAATTTTTCAATTCATATTTATTTTCATATCAAATTCTTTTTTAATTTTAAACTTTTATCTCTATTGTGAAAGTATTTAACTTCAAAAAGTTATATTCCAGTGAAACACAAAGATAAAGAACAAGTTACATACTACGTTTAAAAAATATTATTATTACATATTATATTTAAAAAAATATTATTACAGTTGAAAAAAAATTATTACACATTTTAATTTTAATTATTTATGTTGTAGTGAAATACAAAGTAGCATATTACACGCCATATTTAATAATAGAAAGGAAAAACAAAGACATTACAAGCCTAAGTAGATATTACACACTAAAATTTAAACAACAAATGTTACACTCCAAGATAAAAGCTTTAGCACCAAATATTATATGTCAAAGCCAAAGCTTCATCATAAGAGATTACATGCTAAAGCCAAAGCAAGAGATGTTACATATTAAAACTTCAATATATGTCAAGATCAAAGCTTCAGCACTAAAAAGGTTACACACCAATTCCAAAGCACTAAAATCAAAGTAAAAGATGTTACACATCAAGGTCAAAATTTTAACATCAAATGTTATATTCCAAAATCAAAATTTCAACACCAAATGTTACACGGCAAAGTTTCCTTCTTCCTATTGATATTATACGCTAAGACATAAATCACTTTATTACATATTACGATATGTTCTAATGAACTTGCGTTATTGAAAAACTCAATATTAATAAACCTAAGAACCTGTTATTACTCACCATACCATATTTTTTTTATCTATAGATAGATAATAGAGAGTTTTGTGAATGAAAACTAATAGATCCAAAAATATATTATTATCTTTCATGTTATACTCTTTAATATGTAAATCAATGATTCTTTAGTCATTATTCTTTTATCTATAAATTGACAATAATTTAACAAAATGATGATAGTGGTAAAATTAAGAAGAGTTAGATGAAAAGAGAGAAAAATAGAGAGCACAACAACTTGAGTACAACAGACATATGACGAGAGAGAAAAATTGAAAATATTTAATTTATTTAAAATAATTTTAGAACATTTTTTCATCTAATGACTAATTTTAGTTAAAAACAGTTAAATTTATCTTAATAATTATTTTTTAAATTACAAAATTATTCCTCAGAATTTCGTATATATATACATATATGAAGTAGGAACCAATCATATTAATTCTGGATAAACATTAAAGAAACATATCCCAGGATTGACCTATTAATTTTTCCTAGAAAACTGATGAAATTCTTCATTTCCAGATACCAGACAAGCTAGCATTAATAAGAATGACATAAGTGTACTTTTCTTGCCCAAACATGTCTGCTTTTTGATTCATTTCCATGAACCAGCCTCAATCTTCAAGTGAACAAGAAATTAGAACCTGTAGCAGATGACTAACAGAAACAATTCATCATACAATTGGAACCGCCACAATCACCTTCAAAATTCCCAATGGCAAACAAAATTGATCCAATCTCATTTCAGTACAAAGGAAAACATAAAATGATAAATTTTTTAAACTAGATGAAGCAGTATACATAATGAAACAAATACACAACCCAGGAATTCAAAACAGACATTAGCTAAACGTCAAGTAGCATATATTAATAGAGAACGTATGGGAATGATGACCGACGTTTAAAGAAAAAGCCATGTTGCAACACACAGCAACCTTGACACACATCCCACTAGTACCCCAGAAGCTGCTTGGACCAGACAAAATTTCCAGGACAGGTCCATCTGCAAACACCATATCAAGGCTTCCTTGTTACACCTCCTTTGAACAACCAAATGCTTTGATAATTTTACAAGTACTGCAGTATGTGACTCCCTTTGATTACAAGAAATAAGGAACTCCTGTCCTGGGCCCTCTCATCTGATTATTCTCTTCTGTCTCAGTGAAGAACTTCACTTCTCTCTCCTGAAGAAACACCAAAAACAATAAGCATCATGAATAGAACCACTTTGAGGAAGAGATTACAGTATTATCAATACTAGCTATGACCTAGGAAAGATCTTCCTTGCTGTAACCATTTTAACAGACATAACTGGAAAACAACCTGCAATCCTAATTAAATTCGATACCAAAGGCAGACTAAGGTCTTTTGTACTAGAAATGCATAAGAAAAAAATTCTCACCATATTCTCATTAAAGCTCAAAATAGAAGCTACATTCCCACAACGGTAACAATAATTCGGTGCAGACCACACCTGAAAAAATCAATAATCAAAAAATTCCATTAAGCTCTTAATACCATAAAGCAAAAAAGATGAAAACAGAAGTTTAGTTTCTCACAGTTACTAGGCCTTTATCCTGAAACATATACTTAAGACCTTCTTGCACAAGTTGGTGAGCTCGACAAACAAGATCAAGATTATTTATGTGGTTAAACTGCAATGGATGAAAAGGTCAAAATTATTATTTCAGCATGACAACATGAGCATAGACTGAGATGATATCAATTACCTCAGATGTGACCCTGGACCCAAATAGCCAACCTGCTCCACGTGGACTGACTGCCCATGTTTCAATATCTTCAGGATCACTCCACATGAGATCACAGAATGGGCCTTCATGAGGAATTTCACAGTTCCGCTCAATTACCCTTATCTAGCATAAAAGCAGAGGAAAAAAAATGCACGTCAACATCATATAATGAAAAGACAAAACAAACTAACAATCACTACACTATAGTCGAACAACTCCCTTGGGAAAACTAGTACTTGTTAAGGAAAATACCACCTATGTGAAATAGATGATGATTGACTAAAGAGTCAACTATCCCTTCAGAAGAATCCCAATAATATGCAAATGCACAACCAAGTTCTTACCTTAATAAGATTTGGAGTGGATGGTTATTCACTAAAATCAATAGGGAAGATATTAATCCTGACACTAGATGGTTACAAAGTCAATAAAGTCCAATGCTGCAATGCAACCCCTTAATGGACAAAAACCAGAAAGTTTGCATAATCAACTTCTCCAGAGAGTCTAAACACAGCTCAAACAGTCCACAGTATCAATAAAAAAGAACTATAAACTTCCCACTATTTCTTAAGAAATTCGTCATCTTCTGTTGACTACTAATTTCGCCCTCCCCTAAAATGGAAGGAGGAAAAGAGCCACCATACATGCCCTGTTTTTGTTTGATTCCTCAAGATGTCTCACACCAGTGTACTAAATAATTATTCATGCTTTGAAACTAGAAAACTAGCCTAAACTTCAACATACGCAAGTTGCCATCATAACAAATATCTGGACTGCTTGTAAATACTCTAATAATACAGGACATGACATGTAGAAGTAAGAACGAGTGAAATATATGATAAGTAGAAAATTGGGTGAACTTCTAGGATCGCAGTAAATACACATCTCCAGTCAACCAAAACCTAAGCCAAAAAGAAATATACCTGATCAATTGTTCGTATGTCAGGAGAAAGGCCACCATGTACACAAAGTACCTGCAAAATAGAAACTATTAGATCAATTAAAGAGATGCAAATAAGGTGCTTAGATATAGATGGTGTAGAGGGAAAATGCTTACAGTCCCATCTATAATTGCTGAAAGCGTAAGATAGTCAAAAACATCTGTACAATACCGCCATGCGTTAGCATTTCCGTACTTCCTCTGGCACTCATCATAGAAACCATAAACCTGGTCATTATAATGAACACCATAAATGTCAGTCCACAGCATTTGGGATGCTTTTCCCAAAAATTCCAGCTTTAAAGCACTACTCAACAACCCTAAAAATCAAACTAATATAGTATTGCAAATAGAACTTCCAATAACCGTAATCCTCACATTCAGACTGCTACGCTCAAAATTTAACCTCAGATTTTCAGTAATTTGCCCTTCAAAAGGCATTCAATTCCCTTTTTCCTCAAAAAAAAAAATGAAAAAAGTAATCCTGAAACTATGACCAAGCTTTAAGCACGACAAGAGTCGGCGTCAAAGAAAGAAAAAGACAAGACAGTCTGACATATTTTTAATTACAAACAATAGAACAAGCATTTATCAAATAAGGTCT